AAAGGTGGATCTTGCCTTCATTATGCTGCGAATTTTGCAAAGCAAGGAGTCCTGAAGGCAATGGGAACATTTGCTGCTGAAATGTGTGCTCCTTATTGCTTATCGCTTGTGGTGACTCCTTTATCAGATACTGAAGCCGAATGGGCCTATACATTGCTGAAAGAATTTATCAAAAGTTTAACACCTAAAGCAGTGAAACGAATAGTCTTGCCTGCCATCCAGAGGATTTTACAGGCTAGTTTTGAGCTTTATTTTTTCATTTTTATGTGGAACTTTCTTTTGAACCTCTTTCTTATAGAGGTCTGTGTTTCAGACTACAGGCTATTCACACCTAAAGGTTTCTATTCTACAAGACTCTTTTGTTCATGAGATCTGGAATCAAACTGGCAAACAAGCATATCTAGAAACTGTACATCCTCTTGTGATTCTGAACTTGCATGCTGCTGCTCATAAGAGTTCAGCAGCTGCCGCTTCCGTGCTGCTGATTGGCTCAAGTGAAGAGCTTGGTATACCTATTACCACTCATCAGGTTAAACCGACCCCAAAACTCTTGCTTTTGTGACTTAATAAAATAAAAATTATGCATATCTGTCTTAGACAAAGACATTCAAACACTCATAAAAGTGTAATTTTTTCACTGGGATTATCATGCTAACTATCATTCTTGCCCCAGACAATCTTGCCTCTGATTCAATGCTTTGGGAAAGGTCTCAGTAGTGATGGAATTGACGTGCTGGTTCGAATTGGTATTCTTGTTCAATGAATTGTGAAATAATATTTCCTTGAATTGGCATGTTCTTCTTGTAAGCGTTTTATGTTTTCAATTTCCAGGTGGTCTATTGGGAGAGAGCTTCATCGTCAGACAGATGCTACCATTGCTAAAACATGTATTTCATTCCTGCATTGACATTTCACATATGAATAAACCTGAGCCTGTCCACAGCTGGAGTGCTTTCGCTCTTATTGATTGTTTAATGACAATAGATGGCCTAGTTGCATTCTTGCCAAGGGAGGTGGTTGCAAAGGAGCTAATTGAAGTATGGGATTTGATTCTTATTAATTTAATTTGAAAACTGAGTGTTCTTGGAAATAATAGAATGATTATATTTTGCAGGATAAAAGTTGCCTGCATGTTCTGGTTCTAATGCAGACAAGTTTAGAATATAGAGTGCTTCAGGTGATGTTCCTGCATGCACATACACTTATTTTAAAAGTTCAATGAGTGTACCCCAGATGCAGAGGCTGCATTTTTCTATATCCTACCTGTGTCATACCTTCTACCTCCATCCTACCCCCAAAGTTCCCATTCAAGCATCTCACATACTAGCCAGTGTGTCGTAATTTCCCATAATGCTATAATGCCTCTCTTGTCCAGGTTGCTGCTACAACCCTAATGGCATTTTGTCAGCGGATAGGACCGGATTTGACAGCATTGCATGTTTTGCCACAACTTAAAGAGCTATTTGATGAGCTTGCTTTCTCACCAAAAACTGCCAATGCTTCTACTTCCTTTGGCAGAAGGTTGAAGGGTTCAAAGCCAAAAATTGATGGGGCTCTGATTGAAAGTCGTATGGACCTTGTGTAAGTGCTTTTCTCAGTTCATTTAATCTGCTTAATTACTAGATTACACTGGAATATAATTTTTGCACATGTTCAATTCCTCCTCAAATATGTGTTGAATTTGCTAGGCTGTTGGCAGGTTGCTTCTGTATCCTTCTTTTGCATCCCTTCTTGGCATAGAGAAGCTTCGCCAGTGTTGTGCAACATGGTTATTACTTGAGCAATATCTCCTACAGTATCATAACTGGAAGGTACACTATCATTTTGCTTTTAACCATTTCATTAATATGAGGGTTTTTCTGTCATGTGTACTCCCTCCCTCCCTCTCAACATACATAAATACACACACATAGACACAGATAAGATATATGGACAACCAACACAATACCCACACCTTTTGCACTTCATATTCTGAACCTGTCTTGATTCAGTGGGAACACACAGGAGAATTGTCTCGAAATGGTTCAGACACTATACTCAGTAAAAGAAATGCATTCAGAAAGGGCTCAACTTCTGAATACAGTCCTGCTAAGCTGTTGCTCAATGGGGTTGGATGGTCAATTCCGCAATCACAAGGGTCTAGAAGTGCCAAAAACTTGATGCCTCAAAAACGGTTCTTTGAAATGCATCAGAGTCCAGCTGAAATGCATGCAGCAACATCAAATTTTAAATTTGAGCCCTGGTTTTGGTTCCCTAGTCCAGCTGCTAGCTGGGACGGGCCTGATTTTCTTGGGCGTGCTGGGGGTGTGAAAGATGAACATCCATGGAAGATCAGAGCATCTGTCATATACTCAGTCCGTGCGCATCCTGGGGCCTTACGGTATTTAGCCGTCTGTCCAGATGAATGTACGGTTTTTACTGCAGGGATTGGTGCAGGGTTCAAGGGAACTGTTCAGAAATGGGAGCTGACTAGAATTAATTGTGTATCGGGATACTATGGCCATGAGGAGGTTTGTTTATCCTATTCCGCTTTACTTTTTCTCTTTTTGTTTTCTTTTTTGCCTTTTTCTGTTGAAACTATTCTCATGCGCTTAAATTGAAACCTTCCATACTATATGATTCCTCGTAATCACATTGATAATTCTCTCTTGCCATGGAACTATGGTCATGCACATATTTCAGATCCGAGTTTGGTTCTGCTTTCGGATACTTATGGTCATGCACATGTCTCTAACTGCTTTTGTGGCTCTTAGGTTGTGAACGATATTTGTGTCTTGTCGTCTAGTGGAAGAGTTGCGTCTTGTGATGGGACAATACATGTTTGGAATAGCCGAACTGGGAAATTAATTTCAGTATATTCTGAACCATCTGTGGATTCTGCACATAGTGCAAGCCCTCCATCTTCTTCCTCCAGGGTCAATGTGGACCAGGTCAATATGCTCAGTTCCAATACACTGTCTGGTGGAATATTGACTGGCGCATTTGATGGTAGCTTGTACACTTGTATGCATCAGACAGAATTTGGTGAAAAGCTTGTAGTTGGCACTGGAAATGGTTCTCTCAGGTAAATACATAGTGTTGCACAGATATCCCATTACAAGCTGATATAGACCAGGAAACGTTTCGTGCAGTTTCAGGTTTTAATGTTTTCTCAATCTTACAGGTTCATTGATGTTGTCCGATTACAAAAGCTTCACCTTTGGAGGGGGGATTCTACGGAGTCTGGTTATCCTTCCCTTGTTTCTACCATATGCTCCTGTGGGTCTGACAAAATGCAACCAGATGGAGCTTCTTCACCATCTTGGATTGCAGCTGGATTGAGTTCTGGTCATTGTAGGTTATTTGATGCAAGGAGTGGCAATGTTATTGCCTCTTGGAAGGCTCATGATGGATACGTGACAAAGGTATTTCAAAAAAGTTTGAGAAAAGCCTCACTTTAGTTTAATTTCAATTCTAATTTACCATTTACTCATGTAGTTGGCTGCACCAGAGGACCATTTACTTGTGTCAAGCTCTCTTGACAGGACTTTAAGAATTTGGGACTTGAGAAGGTAATTTCAGACATTATTTAATGGTAACTTTGAAATAATTTGGATGGAGCAATCTCCCTGGGTTTCCCTGTGTTTACTTATATGTTATGTGAGTTTTAGGCATTCATGAGGATCGGAGCCCAAATTGTGTTGCATTAAATTGATCCAGTACTTTTTCTTTTATCTATTTTCTAGCATCATGGAAATGATATTGCACTATCAAGCTCTCATTAAACTTTAACTCCTTATGCAGGAATTGGCCTTCTCAGCCCACAATTCTTAAGGGTCATACGGATGGCGTATCTTCGTTTTCTGTGTGGGGCCAAGATGTTATTTCAATTGCCAGAAATAAAATTGGACTTTCTTCTTTATCCAAATCTGGTGATGAGGTAAACAACACTGCACTTTATCACCATTTCTTGTTAAGCACATATCTAATTTGCATGACATGAAAACCATTTGGCAGGATGGGCAGCAGGCTGTTACATGCCAAAAACTATACATGGCTGATCATGGAGCAAGAAACTTTTCAGTTTTGTCAAGCATAAGTATTTTACCCTTCTCAAGATTGTTTCTTGTGGGTACAGAAGATGGCTATCTGAGAATATGTTGCTGATCACTATTGCCCAACTTTGCCAAGGAAGGCAATTTAATTGTATTTCAAACTATGCTGTATATTTTGTATCCATTGTTTTGGTTTTAATTTATATTTCCCCTTTTAAGTTTGTATCCTGAGGTTTGAGTGAAGAAAGAAAGGGGTGCGGGGGGGTTGCTTAAGCTACTCATTGTAATCCATTGATTGTAGTTAGAAGTAATTCTTTTTGTATAATTGTTTGTAAACTGTTTTTCTTAGACAGCAAAAAGAAAAAATAATGTATAATATGGAAGTTATGCTCTTTTGCACACCCTCCATTTTCGCCTCTTGTTTTGTTTTTTCTTTTTTGGTTCTTTAAAGAAAAGAGAAGAAAATAAATTGCTTTTTGGGCCCTGAAATACTTCCCTAAGAGCCCAAAGGCTACAGAAAAGACAGAGATTGCCAAGAGGCCAAATAAACTCCAAACAAGCAACAGAGGGAGGCCCAGGAAAACACCAAAAAAGCAAGAATTCTATAGTGGGGCCTCCTTAGATGAGACCTTCTTTCTTAATCGTTAGATTAAATTTGTTAGCCATTGGATCAAATTGGTTAGTCTGATCTAACGGTTAAGAGATAGAATCTCACAAATGGGCCATATATAAAGCTCTCACTATAGAATAACTCCACCAAAAAAGAGAAGTGACCTTACCTAAAGACCATATATAAGATCCTTAGAATTCTTGTATAAAGTATAAACAACCAACGGGGTCTAGTCCAATTAAAAAATGCCTTAACTTACATACTTGAGGTCTCATATTCGAAGCCATCTTAGTTTAGACTATAGCTTGTCCTAACAAAAAAATATAAACAAAACAACTGCACCTGCTATAAAAAATAAAAAATAAAAAAAGCAAGAAAAAGAAGAGGGGGACCAAAACCCTTGAGAGATTGACCCCGCTCATTTCTCCAATTCACAGTCTCACTCTGCTCGTGTATGCAAATAATGGCTCGAGAAGATTTAGACCTCGGTGCTCTAAACCATGCTCTGAGCTCTGCTCAAATTTCGAAAGACAAAGAACCGGCTGCTCCCAGCTACTACAGCAACGAAGACGATGCTGGTGGCCTGCAGATCACGTGCTTCACTGAAGTCGTCAACGATACTACTTTCCACTTCCAAATCATGCGCCTTCCCAAGCAGGTTATCTTCCTTACCCTCCTCCCTCTTTCAATTCAATTTTTGTTGTTGAAGTTTTTGGCCATTTTGATGTTGAATTGAACTGTCCAAGTCGAAATTAAGCAAGAAAATTCGTTAAATTTATAATCTTTTTGGCTTAGAAAAATCTAGGCGGATTATTTGCATACATGGTCAATTAATTTTGACAAGTTTGAACAAATTCTGAATTGGGTAATAATTTCTCTTTGTTTTGAGTGTAGATATATGCATGGATTGGCTGCAACTCTGCAAAATTGGGACATTTGTATGCAGCAGCACCCATGAGACCTGTAAGTTGATAATTTAGCGTTTGTTTCCTCTTCAATTGATCTCTCTTTACATTGGTGATTTCTGACTTCTTTGTATCCATGACTTACACAGAACAGTACAGTGGGTGTTACATCCATACTTGGTGGGGCTTCTGATAATACAGGGTCGAGCATTGCTCGAAGATTAGGTAAATTATCGATCTATGTTTAGATAAGTTTGAGTTTATCATTGTGTTTTCTTTTCGTTTCCGGTTCCATGGTCTGACATGCCGGGGTTCTTGCAGTTTTAAAGACGGGACTGAATATAATTCTGGCTTGCAACATTCCTAAGAATAGCCCCATGATTGAGGTCTGTGCTCAATCTTAAACACCTACAGAAACACACGTGAACTTGAGACTATGTGATGTGTGTTTCTTTATCATTTGCATATATGCAGGACAGGTTTGTTCATTTAAAACCTTTTGTTAGTTATTTTCACTGAATAATTTGCTCCCCCTTTTTGGTATTTCAGGCAGATGCTGAAAAGTTGTTGGTTCAGAAGCTAATCAGTCTTGGGTACACAAGGCCAAAGGCAGAAGGATTGTCTTCATAGTTGAGGTTTTTCTGAACCTGCTGTTTATCAGGAATGCATACTAGGCTGATTATAGTCGTCAAGCTAACACTTTTTCCGCCATGTTTTGCTTAAACAAGTATCAATTATGTGGGGGGTCTGAGACAGTTGATCAAGATTGTGTTCTGATTGCAAAGTGCTGAATCAATTGAAATATGATTTTTGATGTTTGGCAGGAGTGTAATGACGAGCATAGTTTTGTAGCATTTGGTGATTGGTTCTGTTTCTTTTAGATTTTTGCCTATGATTGGAAAGTATTTAAGAAAGCAACCCAAACTTGTGAGTTTCAAGCATAGTTTTGCAGTACAGTGATTTGGGGATCGTTTGGAGTGATTTTGGATGGGCCAATAATCACTTCTATGTAGAATCACTTGAGAAGCAAATGGAAGGGAGGTGCTTCACCCCAGAATTGCTTAAAATCACTGTATTATTGTAACCCATATGAAATTATTTTGCTTTGCTGCTTTGGTTATCCCCCACTCCGTCACTCTTGTTGGAGCTTGCTTGGTGTTTTTAAGTTTTTTCTCACTCAAAATTCTCAGTTAGTCAATTCCATATGCATAATAAAATAAACACCTTTTGTTTCTTTTAAATTATTTTTCTAATATAAACTATAAATACCAAAACCCTAAACACAGAATGATTTACCCTAGACCCGAAATGAACATTGTGACCACTCTCTGTAAGGATTCTATTAAGCCTAAAATTCGATGTAAATAGGCCGCTCTAATTTTACCAAAATTTCATTTATTTTCTAAAGTTGCACTTAAAAGATGAACTTTGAAGTGCAAAATGTTGGTTGTTGAAGGAGGATATTCCAAAGATGAACTTATTTCGTATAATTTGTTAGTAAAACTTAACATGTTCATGTTCTCAAAATTTAACGTGCCCGCAATTCACAACAGTATATTGTGTTATAAACGCAAACTCATATAATAAAAAATGTAATATAATATAAATAAAACATCTTGACATACCTTAAAAAAATTATATCTAATAATAACACATCAAATAACAAAACCCCACTCCGCACCCGAGTTTGAATCCCTCTCCCTTAGAAGAAAAATAACAAAACCCCATAACATGTCACCAAATCATTTACATCCAAAAAATAAAAATATATAGACAAAAGATTTTTCAAAAAGAAAAGAAAAACAAATTGATATGTATCTATATACAACAACCCGATAAGGCTCTAGCTTAGTAAAATAGTCTTTCTTGGATATGGGAAAAGATCTTATACTCTCCTAAAAGTAGGCCACTTTCCATGCCTTCCTTTCTTTCTAATCGCTCAAACCTTTTCCTTCACTAACTTAAGAGACTGATCTGGAGGAATTGGTTAGCCTAATTAATCAGATTTTCTATCAATTAATCTTCTGCGTCAGCAAGTTTGGTGGTCAAATTGAACTGCCATGGCTACTCTTAATCTTAAGTTTGAGCCAGATGCTGCAGGTACGTAAGACAAACGAGTATATGGGAGCTGGGGGTGCCAAGGCAGCATCAGACCTACAGGAATGACAGAGCATGCATGCGTGTATATACATATATATATATATATATATACACACACACCACGCATTGTATTTCAATGATCCGAACTGTCTAGTTTTTAGATGTTCCTCTAGTGTTGTTGCCATTAATTAATTAATGTTTAATTACTGCATTGCAGGGGTTTCAACACCATTTTCAAATTCACCGCCAACTCATTACATCCTAAAAGTAGAGTCCTTTTCGTCTTTAGAGAGGCATTCAGCGGGTAGATATGAGTCAGGGCAGTTCGATGCTGGAGGATACAAATGGTAAATTGTTTTTCTCATCTACTACTTAATTAGATATACCTTTGTGATTTGATTTCATTAATTTTCAGCATATATATGAATAATATTATTATTATTTTTTCATGTTTGGTCACTGCAGGAAACTGGTGGTGTACCCAAATGGATACAAGCAGAAGAATGTGGATGACCACATCTCTGTCTACCTAGAAATGGCTGGAGCAGATTCACTTCAGACTGGTTGGGAAGTATTTGTTGATTTTAGATTGTTTTTACTTGATCAGAATAAGGGAATCTACTTGGTTCTTCAAGGTATGCATACATGATACATCTTCTATCTGTTTGAAAAGAATTCTCAATGCATCCATTCAGCAGATATAGACCAGTTCTTGTGTTGCTTTGCTCATGATGTTTTTGTTTTTTTTTCGCTTATCAGATGCTCATCTAAACAAGATGTGCTTGCACGGGGCGATGTTTGAAGTGGGTTTCGATAGAGTTATCCCTCTGAATGCATTTACTGATTCTTCCAACGGCTATCTGATTAATGATACTTGTGTGTTTGGAGCCGAGGTCTTTGTTTGTAAAGAAAGAAGAGCTGGCAAAGCAGAACGCCTGTACACGATCAACAGTGCTATGTACAAGCATCCTTGGAAGGTTTATATACCTTTAAAGTTCAGACCTGAACTCTTGGAATCAAAGCCATTCTTTGCTGGAGGACAGACATGGTAGGTATCGTTGATCATATGAAGCTTTGTTATTGACTTATTGTTTAATTACTTCTGGTTTTAATGCAATTTTATTTGTTGGTGGTTTGCAGGAAGATACGTCTCCATCCCAAGGGATATGACAAAGGAAAGGATACTCATGTTTCTGTTTACTTAAAATTGGCTAATCCAGAACCTGCCTCCAAAATACTTACAGAGTTTACTCTGCGCATCGTTGATCAATTCAATGGCAAGCATTTTTTTTGTAAAGGTAAGCATGTGGTCTAACCTAATGCTATATAATATATATTGCTATGAGGGGTTCTTCTCTGTAATTTTTGCTTCTTTTACTTCCCTCCTTTCAATTTATTTCTGAAACCCTAATTAGCCCTTTTGTTTTTGTTTTAATTTTTGTGTTCTTGCAGGTTGTGAATGGTTCTGTGCCTTGAGACCCTCTTTCGGTTTCTCTAGGTTGATTGCATTTGACATTTTGAAACAGTTAGACAAGGGTTTTTTGGTGAAGAGCAATTGCTTAGTGGAGGCAGAGGTCACCGTCCATGGAATTTTTACAGCATTGTAGTCAGCTAAAGCTTGTCCTAACAGCCACTTGCTGTTGCTGTCAAACAGAAACGTTTCTCCAATTCAATATTGGCAACACAACAACAGGATATAATGATCCTTATTTGAAGTTGTTTTCTGGTGCTTCTTTAAACAACACACTTTGGTGTTAGTTTCTATTTGCAAATTAGAATTTTATCATTTGTATGTCTACATTTTAAGCTTTGCTAAGCAAGTCGGAAGGAGAGTCTATACTTCACTGCTCTGCATGTGGTTTGGTTTTTTTCTCCTTGTTTTTTTTTTTTTTTTTGGTTTTATATAAGTTTTGGTGAAACTCCAAATACCAAAACAAGATGAATAATCGTAAACCCAAAAAAACTTTGCAGCCACTCTCTATGAGGATTCTTTGGGGATGGGGCATTCGAACGCATGACCTCATGCGTATGAATAATTGTTCTTAACCACTTGAGCTATAATAACCTAAATTGTTTCTAATAGGCCCTCATGCGTACGAATAATTGTTCTTAACCACTTGAGTAATAACCTAAATTGTTTCTAATAGGCCGCTCTAACTTTACTAGAATGAATGAAAGAATAAAATAATTTCATTTATTTGCTAAAGTTTTTCCTCAAACAGAAAAAATAAAATAAATATTTTGAGTCTTAAACTATACAAATGCCGCTGATCCATGCAGTTAATTTGCATTGATTGTTAAAAAATTCTTGTAAGATATTGCACTTTAAAGAATGAACTTTGAGCAGACATGACCTTAGCCGAGTGTGTTAGAGTGGATGTACTTCCCACTTTGTATCCGAGTTCGAATTCTCATCCGCGTAGTTTAGATTAGTTTAAAGTAGATTTTCGCTTATAAATATAAAAAAAGAATAAACTTTGAAGTGCACCTATACGTAATCTGAAAATGTTCATTGTTGCAAGAGGATGCTGCTCTATCCAAAAGGGAAAAGGCATTGCAAACAGTAGTAATCTTATTTCCGAAAATTTAACGTGTTCAAATTTCACAATGAGTTTTTGTTTGTTTGTTTTTAGTATAAGCGATAGTCTAAACTAGAGGAGGAAAAGTTTATCATGCAAACACTACCATGGTGCCATGGGATTTTGAATATGAGATTATTGATCAGCAAGTTAAGACCATTTTCCACCAAGCTGTTGATGTTGTGTTACATTCATCAATGTGAAATTATTTTTAACTCCAAACCAAACAGTTAACTTATCGCCACTGGCGGATCCACAGAGGAGCAAAGAGGTGCAGCTGCACCTCTCCTCGCCAGAAACTTCCTGGGGATGTCAGAATTTGCCCCTTCGCTATTGCCCACCAATTGTTCGACTAAATGCCTCAAAGACGTTGTTTTGTTTGCTGTTGTGTGAGACTCTAAATATTTACCTTAGATTGTTGGGCTCGATCTCACGAGCATGTAGGAGAAAACGGTTCATCAATCGGAGCTCCACAACCAAAGTTATGAATTTTCGAAGTTTTTCTAGAATTAAAGTTAGAGTTGCAGAGGCTCTTCGAGGAAGAAGAAAGACTCTGCTTCTCACTTTTGATTTTTTTTTAAATGGTCCAATAGCAAGCTGACACATGTCCATTTCTAATTGGCCTAACTTAAAAAATTCATTAAAAACTCATATGTGTGCCAAAAAATTCACAAAAAATTACCCATAACTTTTAATCACGTGTACTTTTATCTCTGACCTCCAATCACATGTGCTTTTGGTTAGATTAATTGGTATTAATTTTGGTTAGATTAATTGGTATTGACTTTTGTTAGATTAATTAAGTAATTGACATGGATTTTGTTCATATTTGATATGAATTTTGGTAAACTAATTGTGTCACTGACATGGATTTTGTTCATATTAATTGATATTCCATACAGACTGTAATCAATTAGTAATACACGTAAAATTCTTATTTGTTTTAATTACGAATAACATTAGTATTGTTAAAATTCTAAGGGCATTTGGTTGTCTAAATTAATTTTGAATTTTTAGCCTTTTTTTTAACACACTACATGGATATTAGACTTGAACCTTGGACCTTGCTCGAGTCCTTTGCGATTTTTAGTCTTTTAAATCTTGCACCTCCCCTGAAAAATTTCTGGATCCGTCACTGCTTATCGCATCCAAATTTATAAACTCAGACTCATTCAAACTTTTAACAAAATATGAAAAATTTCCCAACAATGTGCAAGTATAACATTAATAAAACATCTTCAAATACCTTTTGACCAAAAAAAAAAAAAAATCACTGAAAAATAATGGGCTTATCCAATATAGATCCCTATATTTTCTATTTCCTAGACATATACCCATCACTCTATAAATTTATGTGTAAAACCCAATTTCAAATTTAAATGACCAGTATGATATAAGAGGTCGTAGTATTTCTATGTTTTTACATCATTGCCACCAA